ACGTATATATATATATACATATATATATATATATCATACTTTTTCACCTTGGCTGGTCATAAGTCCGTGTCGACCTACTATACAGGACAGTGCGGTAATTGCTCCCAAAGCCTTGTCCCTCTGGCGTTCATCTCTCACCTAGAAATCGGGAAAATAAACATAGATGCAATTGGACCAAGATTGATCAAAGTATCTATGGACGAATTGACCAGGCTGGGAACCAGAAGAAGTGGGGCGAGAAGGTGAATAGACAAATTCTAAATGCTTGCATACTTAAAAACACACATATATATATATGTGGTTTGACTAAAAACCACCTTCTATGTGTGCATACAAATACACACACACACATGTGATGTGTATTTAACCACCTTCGATGTGTGCATACAAACACACAAAAACACATGTGATAAGTATATAACCACCTTCTATGTGCACACACACACACACACACACATGTGATGTGTATTTGCCCATACCTCTGCGCTGGTCTCCCGAAGTCGCTTGATAATCGCTACGACACTGTCGCACTCATCGCTCAGGCTCACGACCACCGCCAACACAGTACACACCCGCCGGCGCAACACCCAATCAGAACTCGTGGTGAACTGCAACAGCCAATCAACTCGCGTGCTATAAATAGACGAGAAATGATTGGGCAGCCCCAGAGACAGTTCCTCCAGACATCCCGCGGCTGCTGTGTAGAGCTGTGCGTTGCCTGCGCGCGACCACGCACACTCGGCCAACCCTGCAGTGTGGGGTTTAGAGTTTAGGGTTTAGCGAATGCTAGTAGTAAGAACAGTGTGTATGTACTGCAGATTGAGTAATCAACTAGAGTGCGATAGTTGTAATTATATATAAAAGTATATATTAATATTTATATTTATATATATATATATATATATATATAATTATAAATACGCGCGCGCGCGCGCGCGTGTGTGTGTGTGTGTGTGTATGAGTTTATACAGGGACCACAAAACTTAGCCATACATCAAGTGTAGAAAGGCACGTATTCCATAGACTTCTGAATCATAGCCTTACACACCCCATACAAATACACAACCGCCTGACGTTTGTTTAGGGGTTTAGGGTTTAGGGTTGAACACTGCATACCAACTTCCTAACTAATAAACCAGATACTTCACTATACACCCTCAGACCCCTAAGGATGTCTCGCTGGTCTTAGTAGGAGGCTACGCATATGCACACGTGTGATATACCCCATCTGCGATAGTCGTGCACACATACTACTACACACAAGGGCACGTGCGAATATAACCTCGTTTAACGTTTTACAACTTGTCGTATGCTAATAGGCCCCCATACAACCACTTATCTTATGCTATTAGACTCTCTCACAGCCACTTAAGATCATAGGGAGGTCATCTCTACCCGAAAAACACATCCTCTGGCAACTGTAATATGAACATAAACAAAACAATACCGTACATACACAAACAGGCAAACACGCACATATAAATACATACATATCAACCATAGATTACACCAATACTATACACACACACACACATGCACACACATAACTACATCGCAACCCACGTTATATCACCGTAGGCAAAACATTACCGATATAGCAAGTGATTGCATCAGGCGACTTCAAGGACCTCAGGGCGCTCGTCTCAACACTCTCAGAAACATCCTCAGGCACACTCTTGCCCTGATGATGCTCGGAAAGATATTTGCTAATAGCTTGTGTGCGCGAATTAATCGCATCTTCACTTTCCTCTGCGGTGAACTGTTCAATGGCGTCGGTGTCGGTGTGTCGGTTGGAGCTGTGCGAGTCTTGGGTGTAGGGATGGTCCACCTGTTGAAGGAAATTGTGTGATTAAAAACGGATGTGAAGGATTTGTGACTGAATGAATGTGTATGAATATGTATATTGTATATATATATATATATA